AGATAATTCTATTTTGTTTTATGTCGGGACAACAAAACCCGAAAATTAGAATCATTAGAGCTATTTTCTACAAAATGCAATTATCGAATGAATTTATCAAATTAAGTGAACCATTTACGTACACAAAGATTGTATTTAAATCCTGTGCAGAATAGTTTATTATTAAGTAGAATTGTAATTTCTTTTGAATACTACTATTAAGTAAAATTGAAGAACTGTAATTTACGGATGTTTATTATTTCAGCTGAAGAAAAAGGTGATAGAAGCTCGGAGTTCTTACTGCCCGTTCGATCTTTTCTCCGGAGTACAGGAACGCATGAAATCGGCATTGAAAGGACTGTTAGCATCGCCACAAAATAATCTAAAAATTTTTAAAAATGGTACCGTTGTTTACAATCAAGAATCATCTTCAGACGATTTGGAATGTGTCCTGGCAGAATGGTTTCGCAATTCCGTGTCCAGTAGGACAAAAGAAGAATACATCGACGTATTTTGCGACTTGATCTGCGCTGCTCTTTTACATCCATTTCCTCAAGGAGGATTCAAACCGCATTCTGCATACAAATTATGCCCATCTACTCGACAAGGCTTTGAGCCAATCACGTACGTTAATTCAGACATTGTTGCAAAGGCGAAGAAACTCCTATACTTTGCTGGCGAGGTAAATACCGTTATCAAATTGTAAATATTTTAATAATTATACTGTGCAACTAGTATTTTTGTATTTTATTATTTTTCATTTTTCTTTATCTTTCTTTCTGTTAATCTCTGTTTGTATAGAGAGTAAATTTACATATGTAACAATTTAAATGATTTCATTTAAACATTATACTCCAAATAAATGAAACAAACATTTGGAGTGGATTTCTGGCAAATTGAAAGAGATCTTCTTAAATCGTATCAAACGATTAAGAAACTAAATTCAAATAAAAATGGATAACTGTAATTAAGTAAAATTGAGTAGAAACAAGTAAATAATTATAATTATGTAAAGTATAAAATAATTCTATCTACAATCATTTTTACAGACATGCAATTTGGAAGGTGAAACATTAACAATGAATTGTGTGTTAGAGAGGGTACTTCATATGCAGAAGCTTCCTTTTGTTACTGCAGAGTACGTGTACAACATATATTCAAAGTTTCAGCTATTGTTAAAGGACGACATGGTGTATGATAATTTAACGAAAATGCAGACAATCGAGGATTATCGAAAATTCTATTATAAATCTATTGTAAGTAAAGCTTTGTTATTTTATTGTTTATATTTTATTGAGTCATTTATTATTTTAACTGTTGAATTTCTTTTCCAGAAAACTGCCACGGAAAACACAAAAGCTTTACAAGAGACTCACTTGAGAACATGTATCAAATGCACCAGGATTACAAACAAAGCGAGATGCAAGTACAATTGCAATGAAAATAGAATTTTTAATTCGGATATTCAAGAAATCATGGACGACGGCCACGCTGAAAATATTTTCCGTTTCGCTAAATCAAATTTATTTCCTAAATATATGGAAGATGATATGACATCTCACAATAAATCTGATAAGGCACAAAATGGAGGCAACGCGTACTCCAGCAAGGAAGAAGTAGAATGTTTTATAAGCTCTGAGGATATACTGTGCTTACAGAATTATCTTTTATTTTCATGTGCCAGGGATTGCTCAATATTAATAGCTTTTCGAGAATTAAATGTGTAAGTGATAACAGAGATTTATTGTTATAAGTAAAAAGTAAATATGAATCGACAGCGTAATAAATCAATTGATACATATTAATATTAATTACTCGTAAACAGTATTAAAAAAAATAAAATCATTTCATTAAACGTACACTATCACAGTCAAAAGAATCAACCCAAAATAATATTTCATTTCTAATATAAATAATTTAATAAAATTTAAGCAATTTTGTTCATTTGCATTATAAAATGATAGCACTTACTTATTTATATACAAATATGATGAATTGGTTTGTTTACCAAATCATTGTCAAACATTCCATCATACTAAATTCTGAAACTTGTTGTTATGCTTCATACAATTTTTTATACCTCAATAATATTTTATACATAATGAAATTTCATCTTATTTATGATTAAATAAAAAATTATAACCACTACGCTGAATTCATAAATAAAAAATTGTTTCGAAACTACTGTTTTACAAAGTAAACAAATTTCTACGTCTAATTACTTGAATGTTGGTAAATTATTAATTTTTTTATACAGGAATGCAGTGTCTGCCCCGGAAGAAAATATAATAAAACTTCCCAATGGACTTAGGTTTCTCTGCGACATCGGAATTTCGGATTTAGATCCAAAAAGTCTTCAATGCATCGAGAAACATCGTCAACGAGACACAGATATTTTAAACTCCGTAATATCCGTTTTAGAAGAAGATCTAAAGCTCAAAAATCAATCACCTATAAAACAATGTTTGTAATAACAAGAACAGAGTGTATCATAAATAACTTCCTCTCTATATAATGAAATTTTGTTAAATAGTAACCAAATTTTCTTAATTTATTAAAAATTATTAAATTTAATGAATATATGGAATGTATATAATTTATTAATGTTACAAGTATAAACAAATTTAGATCGAAACGAAGACTGATAAAAAGTGAATCCATAGTAAGTTTAATTTACTTAACTGTAAATATTTACTTAATTGTAAATTCATAAAGGGAAGTTATTTATGGCTTGATTTAGTAGTTCCATTTTAACAATTGCTAACAATTTCGTATTGTATGAAAATTTTGTGATTAACTTTTCTTATTTTATGCAAATCATGTTCTACATAAAAACAACATAAACAGTTTTTAAGTAAAAAAGACATTACGTATGTAATATATGTCATATTGTTCAAACACATAATTATAATTTTCCTAGCAATGATATGACGACAACTAAAATACTTTAGATGAGTTGTGCATGTTGGTATTGTTTAGTATTAACATTATCAATCTGAAATCATTGCTCCTTAAAGCATGTACGGTACACAGGGTCCTAATGAAAAGGGTTCAGGCAAATAGTGGGTTCCTAAATTGAGTAACAATATTATGAAAAATTTTTTTTTAAAGTTTTTTGTAACGCGAGTGACTTGCCTGTTTCCTTTATTCTTCTTCTAATCACTTAGTACTGTTCATTTCTATTTAGAACATTTCAATCATATTATTAAATTTTTTTAATGCAGAATACAAAAAAAAATTCTGACGTTACTTATATTTATTATATTAAATTAGCGAAAAATAAAGTAAATTGTATGTGAAGCATGTGATCATCTTATATATTGAGAATATTATGTGATACTTGTTAAATTATTTTCTATATGTCACGTGTACGTGTGTATGTACCAAAACGAAATTAAAATTATAACATGTTAATTATATCTTGAATGAATACTGAAAAGTTAATGACATCGAAACGTTTTACTGACTTAAAAAATAATGTATTTATTACTGTTTTCTTGAATTGCATATTTGTGAAATACTGTTTCATATGTGTGTTAACTGTTTGTTATACTTTTATTGTAATGTTAGAGCAGTAGTGTATAAAAATAAAAATTATAATATAAAAGCAGATATTTTTAAATATCTTTTTTCTATTTTTTGGTTCTTGAAATGCATTTATATATTTTATCTTTCTCTTTAAAATTTTCGAAAGAACTTTGAATTGACTTTAATGCTATGAAACTTTATTTACAAAAAGTAATAAAGGAAAATATTTTTTTCGCGCAGAAAGTTTTAAATGCCATTTGAATAATAGTCTAAACAATTTTAAGCACACACGTATAGAATATGATTCCGTTTATATACATAAAAATCAACGGATTTAAATTAGTAGGCTACATTATACTGAAAAGATTAAACAGAATTTTATACTAATTGTAAATTCTTGAGACAAATAGTTATTATTAATTTCGAAAATTGTAACATATTCGAATTTTTAATACCTTCTTAAATCAATTGTGGAAAGACTGACTTGTGAAGATGCGTAAACAAAATTAAAATTTCATTATCTTCATTAATATTTTCTTAACTTATATTAGCTTCAACAAAGCTGATACAATTAAGAAAGACATATACTGTATTATGTAATAACATTACTAATGTAATATTGTGATTCACTGTAATTTAATGAAATTCAGTAAATTCTCTGTTTTAAACTACATTGTGCTACTTTCTTACCACATTCATGAAAGATACTTCAAAAAATACATCCTGTTTCCATTCATTTTTATTATTGACTTTGGTTTCTTACTCAAGTATAAAATATACATTGAGTCATTAACTTATGATTTTTGTTGCCTATAAGTTCTTAACGTTGAAACTGATAAATTAAGTACTTTGCTAAAAGCTCATGTAAATAAATTTAATATTACATTACGTTAAATTGCAAAACTTTTTCACGATAATTATTGTTATCAGTGAAACTAACTTTTATCATCTTTTAAGATGTATAAGCATATTGTTTTTTACAATCCTTAATGGTACCAATATCTTTTCACATATTTTTAACGAATGATAAGTCCAACATAACATTAAATTGCAAAATTTTACAAACATCATTTTTATCCACGAAGTTCCTTCATTTCTCTACATTTCTGACTACTCTTATAATCCGCGACTTTATTTGAATTGTTCTCTGCAATTTCAAAAAAATATAAATGATACATTAACACTATCGTGATATTCAAATTTTCCCTACATTTCCAAAGCATGGCAAATGATAAATTTCATTAATTACACAATTCCTTTGTAAACATCATTCTTACCGACCAAGCTCCACATACCCCCAAATTTCTTACAGTCTACCACAGTATTCGAATTTTCCCAACATTTCCAAAGAATCCTAAACAATAAACGTCATTAACTTACAAAATTCCTTTGCAGACATCATTCTTATCGATGAGGCTCCACATACCCCCAAATCTCTTCCAGTCCACTACAATATTCGAATTTTCCCAACATTTCCAAAGAATCCTAAACAATAAATTTCATTAACTTGTAAAATTCCTTTGCAAACATCATTCTTATCGACCAAGCTCAACATACCCTCAAATCTCGTCTGGTCTACCGCACTATTCGAATGCACATCCCTACACCCCTGAACACGACACAGGGTTGGCCGGTGGAAAAGCTGGGTATCGGGTAGCTTCGGTCGGTATCGGTTCCGTCTACGAGGATCTTCGTCCCAGGCCCCGCTGTAATTCTTGAGGGCTCTGTGACGGGCGCCCCTCCCCAACGGGAGAGAAAGAGCGAGCGGTCGCGGCGCTCTCTCGGCTGGCAGTCGACGTTCGTAAATGGCGACATACCGATGTCGAATGTTCGCAGCGAATTGGTGAATCGTCGTACGTGATGACGGCTCGTCACTGAACCTCGGACGGCGATGGGCACGCAAAAGCCGAAAGAATGGGCGAATTTGCTGATCACACGTTTCGAGGAACAGGTACACACACCACAGCTGCGACTCGATCTACAAAATCTGTTTAGCTTTCTTTCCACCCGTTCTATCCGCCTTTCCCTCTTTCGTTGCCCGTTCCCCTCTCTCTTTCTTACCTACCCTCTTCCGGTGCTTTCTCTCGCTCCGTGTCTCTCTCTGTCTCTCTTTTCGCTCCTGTATTCCTCGCACCTAAACGCACACATTTCTTGGTCCTTTCTTTTGTCTCCTCCTACACCTTCACCTACTATCGTATCCTGGCTCAACCATGCTTCCCTCTTGTTATTACCTACCAGTACACCGAGTTTCTTTCGCGTTTCGTTCCACGGGCTCTCTGTAATCGTGTCTGAAAGAAAATGAAAAATGGATACTTTGTATTTGGCCCCTGTGTTCTGTGCACGATCGGAAAGAGACCGGCAACGGTCGTTTTCATTTTGCTTGGACACACGATGTTCCACGGGAACACACGGCCCCGTGCGATTGACATCGTGCACTACGGGATAAGTGTAAAACAGAGTTTCTATTAATAAGTGGATATTGGTGAACAGTGAGATGTTGAAGAACGAGAGAGGAACATACGTCGAGGCGAATTTCCACGGAGTATCGGATATATTTCGACGAACCCATGGCAACAATTGATTAGATAGAATTCGGAATAAAAGCTGCATGTTACGTTTAATCCGTTTCAGTTCTGCTCGGTGTTTCCTTTGTTTTCGCCGTTTAGCTGGTCATTTTTGGACTTCATCAATGAAGGGAAGTTTACGCGTATAATTCATGAATGCGACCATTTAACCGTGACGGTTTCGTTCTTTTTGTTGTAAATTTCGTATCAGAATTGTCGTTTTAATGCAGTCGTTTCATTATCTTCTCGTTTGCTGGCGCGGTGTCATTAATAGTTGGTATCGTTGTCCTCATGAATGCATGTACCGTCCTTCGTTTGTTCGTTGATTGATTCGTTCATTCATGGGAAGATGCTTCTCGCGGTCTCCTCCCTCTACACGCCTTGGAGTCCACGGTTTGACCTTCGCCCCTTCTCCCTTTCCTCTCCACCCTGTCAACTATTCAGTTAAGGTGTATACAAGGTGTACCAAAATCAAAGTATTATTCGCCGAATTTGTCGCGAATATTTTCAAATTAATAGTGTTAATAATTGTAATACCATTATAACATTAAACAATAATCGCGTGTTAAATATTTCTTTTAATATTGAAATTTCGAAGTATATACACATTCTATGACGTTCGTTTCGAATAAAAATGAGTTACAAATTTTGCAACGCGATTAAAGTGAAACTTTATTATTTTATTTTGGAAAAATATATCAATTTATTTATCCTTGTTATGTACACCTAGTTTTTATGAAATAGATCTTCAATTTGAGTATGTTTGATATTAATTGTAGTAATTTATGGAACATCGGATATTCCTGAATGATTTTGATTACTTTGTTCGTGCAAGAATATTATAAGGGTTTTTTAACGTAACAATAAGAAATGTTTTAGGAAAAAAATACGAGACCGAAATTATTGGAATACCCTCTATAGTTTCACCCTCCGTCCCGTAACCTTTCTATATCCATATAACGCCGTTTCCGTCGTGTCACGGATAGCTGAATGAAAATTGCACCCGTTTCATATACACTTCGGCTTATAGAAGAGTTCAAATCTATGATACACTCCAATGCGTTCAAATGCTGTCAAATCCAGTTACACGAATGTGCATGTAACTTTCAAGTTTTATATCAATGACATATGTCAACGGTGTGTTCGATCGGTTAATATACATATGCATATACACACGAATATCATGCGTAAAGATCTTGATAGTGTTACAGGAATTTTTAATTGACAGACACACCTTTGATTGTTAATATCGTATTGTAAATTATATTAATTCCTCAAACGATCGTTACTTAAGAAATAACAAATTCGAAAATTAAATGTTATATTATTGTGACACAATCTTCACTTATCTAATTTTATACTGATAAAGCTGTAAAGTACTACTTGTATATACTTATACAAACATTATTTATACAAAGTGTAAATGTAAACACACGAAAATTTGACAATAAATACATACTTTAAAACAACAGTTGTATGTTTTATATTTGTTTAATACATTTTATTGAAATTTATCTTTCAATATTCTTTACTTCTCCATTCTACATTTTTTTTAAATACTTATTGATTTTTAAAATATCTGTGTTTTTTTACAAGATTTTTAAAAATATTAGTTTACTGTATTTTGTGTTTTAATTCGATAATTTGAAATATGATAAAAGTAAATATTTATATTATATGAAGCACACCACATAAATTATTTAAATTATTGCGGAAATCATTTTAAATACTAAGGGCAATCACATAAGATATTTTATTAATTCTATTATAATAATTCGTATCTAATAATTTGGTTAAATTCAATTGTGCATGTAACACTACATATAAATAAACATTAATAATTAACTTTTTTAAATAGTAATATTAAATAATAATTTTTTCTTATACGTAGTTGCCGTGTCGCAGTGGCCCACAAACCACCGACTCTCGTATGAACGAGGAAAGAAACAAAAAATGCTTGATACAGATCTCTCGCTATCGTTTCTCTCTTGTAATATCGAGTCTTACTAAGATACTCCAAAATGTTAATGAAATGGTACCATGTGTTGGAGGTCAACGTATTTTCCATAGTACAGACCAAGATCGGCATTGTTATGAATCTATCATCATTGTTTTGGACACTTTGGAAAAGTGTCTTGCAAATCAACCAAAAGACACTGTCAAATATGATGAGGCTATGAATGTAAAGTTTCTGCTTAGAGAAATATGCCAATTTATAGGTATTGACATTTCTAATATAATTAATACAATTATGTACCAGCTTAATATTAAAAATTATAGTAATTTAATGCTACTTGCAGATATACCAAATGATAGCCCCCAACATACTCATTTAAAAAATTTGGCAAGCAAAGTGTTGTTTGCATTGAGCTTAAACTTTTTCAATGCTGTATTCAACAGAATATCAGCTAGACTTCAGGAACTAGCAAAGTGTGGAGATGAAAATGCTGATTACAGTGATATCGAATTAATTCAGCATATTAATGTGGATGTTTATAGACTAATAAAACTTTTAAATGGTAAGTTTGTAATTTTTGTATATATTTGGAGTATGCAGTTAAATTTGAATGAAATTATAAATGATCAAAATTAAATATCCTATATCAACTACTTATATATTCATAATGAAACTTCAATACAAATTCATGGAACAATTTAATTACTATCTATTATTCAAAATTTTTATGAATTATATACAGTATGTATTGAACATTTTATTACTATGAATATAATTTATATTTGATTGTGACTAAATTTAATTTGTATTTATATCAACAATAATATTATATCATTTGTTTACTGATATACTTTTTATTATTGTAGAGACTATCCAAAAATTTAAACTGCTTAAGAAATCAGCACATATAGTTCTTATGAATTCATTGGAAAAAGCAATCTGGAATTGGATGGACACGTACCCACATGAATTTACTGATATCCAAAAAAAGCCTAACGAGGAGCTTGGAAAAGCTTGTGAAGAACTATTTGACATTCTTGACACATTTGCAGACAATAAAAAAGGAAGAACTGCAGCTGTTTGGCCTTTACAAATTATGCTCCTGATACTTTCACCAAAAGTCTTGGAAGAAATAGTTAATGCTGATTCTGGTTCCCCTTGTTCGGCAAAGCATCTAAAGAAAAAACAATTCATTGACAGTGTTAAACGAGGTCTAGGAATGCATGGTAGCTCTAGCAGACAACTAGTAGAAGCTGCAGCAGTCACCTGTATTAAACTTTGTAAAGCATCAACATACATAAACAATCTAGATTCGAACAACGTCATCTTCACGCTTGTTCAACATGTAATGAATGATTTAATGGCACTACTTTTTAGTCCAGGAAAGCTATTCTCTCGTGGTCAAAGCTACGTTGCCCAAGACATCGACCTAATGATAGACTGTTTTGTTAGCTGTTTTCGCATTGAACCTCACAACAACGAAGTACTTAAAGTCTGCTTGAACCTGAATTTTCCATCGACATACCAGTTTGTCTTGGTTAGCTCATTATACAAGTAAGACAACAGTTGTTATAACAAAATTAACTTGTAACTTACTTTTTAATATTTTAATTTCTTGTTCTATAATAATAAGTTATACTTGTGATGAAAATATTAAACCTATGTATATGTACCTTCTATTTTAGAATTATAACTCAACCAAGACTGCCGTGGTGGCCTCAAATAGATCTTCTGTATTCATGTAGTACAGAACTTAGGAATATGTTTACCGATGTTTTAAATAAAGTGACACAGAGTTACATATCACACACACCATTGCGAATGATTCAAAGTTTAACGCTCAAAAGTAAAGAACAGAATAAGTATAGAGACCGTGGAGAAGAAATATTCAGTTACAGAAATTTATTATCATGGATGGTAAAGCTTATTCATGCTGACCCTATGTTATTGCTGAATGTAAGTGTTCTATGAAAAAGTTTAGGAAGAGTCCTTGTAATAAATATTTATGTATGTCTTATATAGTTTTACATGTATTATATAAACTTCTACTTTGCTTTACAGAACCAAGGGAAAGCTGGTCACGAAATACAAAGTTCCACATTAGAATTAATTAATGGTTTAGTTTCTTTGGTTCATCAACCGACTATGCTGGATATAGGATACGAAGCAATGGAAGCATTATTAGTATTACATCATCCAGATAAAATAAAAGCATGGAATCCAGAAGCTCCAATTAATACATTTTGGGATGTTAGTTCACAAGTTCTGTTCTCGATTTGTCAAAAATTGATTCAACATCAAATTGTTAATTACACTTGTATACTAAAATGGCTTAGAGAAATACTGATTTGTAGAAACACTTTTCTAGCACAGCACAAGGATTACGCGAATGTGGGTAGTCAGATTGCTATCTGTAAGCAAGCACATATTAAACTGGAGGTTTGTTTCGAACCGTAATTATATTTATTTTACACCACAGCAGATTTATTACATCTGTGTTTTCAGGTTGTACTTTTCATGTATTTGTGGAGTACAAATATGGAAGCGGTTTTGGTATCAATGTCTTGTTTTGCATTGCTGTGCGAGGAAGCGGAAATACGTTGCGGTAGCGATGAAGTAGCCGTAACTTGTTTACTTCCTAACTATCATTTGTATCTTGAATTGGCACAAGCTTCTACTGTGTTAATCACTGGTAAGTTCCAATTTTTAAATATAAATATTTTTATTCAGTCTCAAATATGAAATACCATACTTTTGTAAAATAAAAGATAGGAATTCGAATCGAAAAATAAAAACTAAATTGGTAAGAGCTAATAATTAATATTCAAGAAAACTTAATTTATAATTTATATTTTATGATTCATATATTTATGAATATTTTAACATAGAGTATTAAAGAATAGAAGGTTAATAATATCGCTATTTCAAAATGAATTTCGATCCGGGTTTCTAAAGTAAATATTTTGATTTGAATTCAAACATTCATTCATGAATTTTTGAATTCACTTTGTATTTTGATTAGTATAATCCTTATATGGCTGCAGTAGAGTATTAAAGACCTTGTTACCATAACAGCCAGCGGGGAAAGTAAAATATGTTATCACGATCATAATCATGGTGAGTGTTATTCAAGAAATACATATGTGTAATAAAATTAAGGCTGCATTATATAATTATATTTTTATTTAATTATAATGTTTTCTACACAATTATTTTATGAAAAAATGATAACATACATAAAAAATATTTTAGGACGAGCTGCTTTACAGAAAAGAATTATGGCCTTATTGAGGAAGATAGAACATTGTGTAAACGGTGTACAACCCGTATGTATACATAATTATTTACATTTTATGTTATTATGACAACTATAATTATTTAACAGCCATAAAAACCAGACACTTTTCTTTACATTTAGGCTTGGGAAGAAACATTTAGAAATTGGGAGATAACATCTCGACAGTTAGTGAATTATCCTAAATCTAAACTGGAAGATGGTCAAATGGAATTTCACCGAAATGCAGGAAAGCGTAGAGCATCGCATCAAAATTCGGAACACGAATTAGAGGAACAAATTAACGAGTGGGCAAATATGACGGGAGTTCTCTGTGCTTTAGGCGGAGTGTGTTTACAAAAACGTTCCACGAATAGGCCATTATCTGGGATACCGCTAAATCCGGAACTAAAAAAATGTTCCGCAAAACAGGAACATTGTTTATCAAATTCAAGCCAAGAAGTTCAATATTGCACGCAGTTTGTTTTTAATTTGTTGCGTTTGCTAATTTGTAACAATGAAAAGTTTGGCAATCAAATTCAGAAACATGTGAAGGAACTGGTTGGTCATGAAATGAGTCCTGCGTTGTATCCAATACTTTTTGATCAGATCAAAAGCCTAGTTGAGAAATTCTTTAATCAAGATGGACAAGTTGTAGTAACGGACGTTAATACGCAGTTTATCGAACACATCATTTTTATCATGAAAAATATATTGGATTCAAAGACAGAACAACCTTCTGAGTACCTTGGAATGACCAGCATAGAGGGAATGATGTTAGCAATCGTCAGATATGTTAGACATTTGGACATGACTGTACATTCTATACATATTAAAACAAAATTATGTCAACTTGTCGAAGCAATGATGAAAAGACGAGACGATTTAGCATTTCGACAAGAAATGAAGTTCAGAAATAAACTTGTGGAATATTTAACCGATTGGGTAATGGGCGCTACCCATCAAATTACCCCATCAAGCAGTGGAGACTTAACTGTTTACACTAGGTAAAAAATCATTTTTTAACTTATTAGGTATCCATATGCAATAAAAAAACATTATGAGTGTTTTTTTCTTACTGTGCAATGCTTAATTTGATTTTTATATGCGATTTGAAAACAAAAACCGTAAAATGCCCATAAATAATTAGATAACTGTTAACTATATTTATAAATAGTTATAGTTATTTTAGCTAAATATCTTTATTCAGGTGTAGAATATATTTTATATCAGTTCACTTTCTAGAGATTTGGATCAAGCTTGTATGGAAGCAGTTGGAGCATTGTTGCGAGGTCTTCCTCTACAACCGGAAGAATCTGATCGCGGTGACCTGATGGAAGCAAAATCCCAATTATTTTCAAAGTATTTTACTCTGTTCATGAACTTATTCAACGACTGTAATGAAGCTGCTGCAGAAGAAAAGGAGCTTTCATCTCAACAACCACGTGTAAGCAGTGGCAAATTGTCTACGTTGCGGAACGCGACCATACAAGCAATGAGCAATCTTCTTAGCGCGAATATTGATAGCGGTTTGATGCATTCATTAAGTAAGTGAAATTATATAATTTAAATTAATTACCGTTAATTGTTATTATTAATTCGTATATATAACTTAATAATAATATAAATAAACTATTATTATTATTAATTCATATTTTTAAATATTGTATACTAATATCTTTTGTTCCATTTTTTAATATTTTCATTACTGTAGGTTTGGGTTACAATCCTGATTTGCAAACACGAACAGCGTTCATGGAAATTCTCACTAAGATTCTTCAGCAAGGAACAGAGTTCGACACATTAGCGGAAACAGTATTAGCCGACAGATTTGAACAGTTGGTTCAACTTGTCACAATGATCAGCGATAAAGGAGAATTGCCTATCGCGATGGCTTTAGCTAATGTTGTGACAACGAATCAAATGGATGAGCTGGCTCGAGTATTTGTGACATTGTTCGACGCGAAACATTTATTGTCGCCGCTTTTATGGAATATGTTCTACCGTGAAGTCGAAGTCTCCGATTGTATGCAAACGTTATTTCGGGGAAACAGTCTCGGTAGCAAAATTATGGCGTTCTGTTTTAAAATTTACGGCGCCAGTTACCTGCAAAACTTATTGGAACCATTGATTACACCGCTATTAGACGATACAACAACTGGCTTTGAAGTCGATAGCGCGAGAATGGATACCACCGAAGATATAGAAGAAAATGGGCGTAATCTGATAGCGTTAACGCAGAAAGTGTTCGACGCTATAGTGTCTTCAGCTAATCGGTAAGTCGTTGATACATAACGAAAATAAAATATAATTATTTCATATAATTTTGTACAATTTTTTCATTTTATATACGTTTATACTATATGTATTTTGTTATAGTAAATATGACGGCATAGTAAAGTAATATTAGTTATTAAATAACTGTTGTGATGTGATCAAACAGAAAACTTCTTCGTATTTTTAATAGATTTTGTATAATTTGATTGCATTAACGAGGTCTATTGTACTAACCATCAATTTTTTCAGATTTCCACCGCAATTGCGGTCTATGTGCCATTGCCTCTATCAAGTGCTAAGCAAAAGATTTCCTCAATGCCCGCAAAATAATATCGGTGCTGTAGGGACAGTAATATTTTTGCGTTTCATTAACCCAGCTATTGTATCACCTCAAGAAATGGGTATTGTAAATCAACCTGTACCACCTCAAGTAAAAAGAGGCCTGATGCTGATGTCTAAAATACTTCAAAACATTGCGAATCACGTGGAATTCAGCAAAGAACAGCACATGCTACCCTTCAATGACTTTTTGCGAGCACATTTTGAAATTGGCAGAAGATTTTTTATTCAGATAGCTTCGGATTGTGAGACGGTCGATCAGGCTAGTCATCCAATGTCGTTTGTATCGGATGCTAATGTTCTAGCACTGCACAGATTGCTTTGGAATCATCAAGAAAGAATTGGTGACTACCTTAGCAGTAGTCGAGATCATAAGGCAGTTGGAAGAAGACCTTTTGACAAAATGGCCACGTTATTGGCATACCTCGGACCTCCCGAACATAAGCCCGTAGATTCACAGTAAGTAATTATGTTAAAAATATCCTCATATTTTTGTATTTTCGTTTTCAATTATTTATGAAATTACAAATGATAATTATTAGAAAATTTAGATTTTCGAACTATTTTTATATTGATTTTTATATTTTAAATAATGTATAAGTTATAAAACAAATATATATTATAAAATATTTGTAATATATTAAATATTATCAATAGAAACAACCAATAGATAAAAGATACCAATTTCTTTTCAATAGTCTGGTATTCTCCTCATCGTACGCTCGATGGTCAAGCATCGACATGTCCTCAACTAATTTCGAAGAAATTATGGTGAAGCACAACGTGCACGAAAAAGAAGAATTCAAGAGCATCAAGAATCTAAACATCTTTTACCAAGCAGGAACTAGCAAGCAAGGATATCCTATATTCTACTACATAGCTAGACGTTATAAGTGTGTATCTCTATTCGTCCTTCCTTAGCATCGATGCTAACTTGTAATATTAACTTCACATTTTTGTAGAACGTGTCTCGGCGACACGCATGACGAGCTGCTGATATATCACGTTATCCTCACTCTAAAACCGTTCTGGCATGCCCCGTACGAATTGGTTGTCGACTTCACGCACACGTGTTCAGATAATCGGTTTAGAACCGACTTTCTGCAAAAGTGGATGTACATGTTACCGAAAACCGCCTACGACAAGATTCACGCCGCCTACATTTACAACTGCAATAGCTGGGTTAGAGAGTACACGAAATTTCATGACAGAATCCTGGCACCATTGAAGAACAACAAAAAAGTGATCTTCCTCGATGGGCCTAGTCGTTTGAACGACATGATCGACGTTGACCAACAAAAACTGCCTGGTGCTACGCTCTCTCTTGATGAGGATCTAAAGGTCTTCAACAGCGCTTTGAAACTCTCTCACAAGGAAACCAAGGTATCCGTGAAAGTTGGACCAACCGCTATACAAATAACATCTGCGGAACGATGTAAAGTGCTGTCACACTCCGTTCTCCTAAATGATGTTTATTATGCATCGGAAATTGAAAAAGTCTGCTTACTAGACGACAATCAGTTCACGTTGACTATCTCGAATGAAACTGGCCCATTATCTTTCATCCACAACGATCGCGACAGCATAGTTCAGGCTATAATTCACATAAGGAATCGGTGGGAATTGTCACAACCCGAATCTGTGTCCGTTCACCCAAAAATCAGGCCTAAACACGTACCTGGGACTTTGTTGAACATGGCTTTATTGAACCTCGGTAGCTCAGACCCTAATCTGAGAACAGCGGCATACAATCAGCTGTGTGCTCTGACTGCGACGTTCGATTTAAAAATAGAAGGACAATTATTGGAGACGTCTGGACTTTGCATACCATCGAACAACACGATATTTATCAAGCACCTCAGCGAAACTTTGGCTACCAAGGATCCACATCTTACCCTGGAGTTTCTAGAAGAGTGTATCCAAGGATTCATATTATCGAGCATCGAACTGAAACATCTGTGTCTGGAGTACATGACACCGTGGTTAAATAACCTCGTGCGGTTTTACAAGCCCAACGATGGAGGAGGAAAACGTCAGAAGCAAGTTACAAAGATTTTAGAAAAGTTGATCACGTTAACCATTGAGGAAGTGGAGATGTATCCAAGTATACAAGCCAAGATTTGGAGCACGATTGGAAAATTGCCAGATTTGATAGACACTGTCCTGGATAATTTCATTCAACGCAGTGTCAGTTTCGGTGTTGAGTCACCGACAGTTGAAATTATGGCTGATACAGCGGTAGCTCTAGCGTCCGGGAATGTTCAGTTGGTAGCGAAGAAAGTGATAGGGAGACTTTGTCGAGTTGTAGATAAGACGTGTATCTCTCCGACTCCTCTGTTAGAGCAACACACAAGCTGGGATGATATCGCGATTCTGGCGAGATATTTACTGATGTTGTCTTTCAATAACTGCCTGGATGTGGGGAAACATCTGCCGTATTTGTTTCACATGGTGACGTTTCTCGTTTGCTCCGGGAGCCTGAGCATGCGGGCGTCCACTCACGGGTTGGTCATCAACAGCATTCACTCTCTTTGCACCTGTAGTTCTCCTTCTTTTTCAGAGGACACTCACAGAATACTGCGAATGAGCCTGGACGAGTTCTCCCTTCCGAAGTTTTATTTACTGTTCGGTATTAGCAAAGTGAAATCTGCTGCGGGTACAGCATTCAGATCTAGTTATAGACACTCGAGCGAGAAGTGGCTTGGCAACGAGCGCAGTATCGCCAGCGTGCACGACAAAGAGAGGCTCTCGTTGACTAGCTTAGAGATTATCACGGACGCCCTCCTTGAAATAATGGAGGCTTGTATGCGAGACATTCCACAGTGCGACTGGTTGAAAACTTGGTCCTCTTTGGCGAGGAATTTCGCTTTCTGCTTTAATCCAGCTCTTCAGCCGAGAGCCCTGATCGTTTTCGGATGCATTAGCAAGAGTATAACCGATCAAGATGTGAAACAGTTGCTGAAGATACTGGTGAAAGCGTTGGAAAGTTTTAACGATATCACCTTGCTTGAAGCAATTATCATGTGCCTCACTCGGTTACAGCCGTTACTGAGAACAGTGAGTTATACTTTTTGCATTTAATATTACTATATAATAATAATTGAAATAAACTGTTTGAGATGAAACTATTGTGAACTATAGTTTCTCTTTATGTTATCCATGAAAAACTTGTAAGCATAATTTTAATTGATACTTGTAATACTTGCAAGGAATCACCAATACATCGATATTTATTTTGGGTCGCAACATCGGTTCTTCAGTTGGACGAAGCATCTTTGTATGCATGTGGTTTAGCACTTTTGGAACAGAATTTGCATACTTTAGAATCTCAAGGAACTTTCGACGATAAGGTAAATACTTATATATGTATATTTATGCTACAATTATATTTAGTGTACTTTGTTATTGTTGCAAAGACTTGTACTATCTTTTTAGACCCTGGAGCACGTTATGATGTCAACTCGCGAACCGTTAGAATGGCACTTCAAACAATTGGACCAGGCCGTGGGACTGTCTTTTAAGTCCAATTTCCATTTTGCGTTGGTTGGACATCTCTTGAAAGGATATAGACACCCTACACCGACTACTGTGACGAGAACAGCTAGAGTATTCACTATGTTACTAGGTATCGTAGCGAAACCATTCAGAAGGGACAAGTTTGAAGTAACGCCAGACAGCGTAGCTTATTTGGCTGGTAAAATTTTGCTTTTATGATCTGAAATTACGTCTTTTTGCTTGTATATGGAAAATAATAATTCATATATTTTTGTATGATTAGCTTTGGTATCCGTATCCGAAGAAGTGAGAAGTAGATGCCATATTAGACATTCAGTTACCAAAAATGCAGAATCTGGTAGTACAGATTGTCTTGATAATTTACTTCCTCATAATACAGTGAGTAGGCTTTATATAGTTATTCCAATGTGACGCATTTATCTGTATTTATAGTTCGAGTAGTGTATTTGTAGAGACAAATTTGAAAATGATCAATGGCACATTGTTAATAAGTCTATAATTTAAGTTTTAGATGAATACATATCCTTAATGGTGAACATTTTAATATTGTATAAATCTTTTTTTTATAAGTTACATGTTCATAAACAGGACACGTCAAGTGCAACGTCTAGCAATCCTACAAATCGCCGACAAAAATCATGGGATTTACTGGATCAATCCGCACTTACCCAAGCTAGACAACAGAAACAATATTCAACGCATCAGGTATGTTCAGTTTTGATTTAAAAACTAACATATTACATGTTACCGACTTGAAGTAATATTATATTGCTGTTAATGTTTGAATATTTATATTATGTCTTTATTGTGTGTACAGTATATTGGGGAAGATAGGAGAAAATTTAAGAACTAATTCTGTATGGCAATATAAAACGAAAGTGAAAAGTACAAAAATTGCGGTTTCAATTTTGGTTTTGTTTTTAAGTTATTAATGATTCAAAATTTCTCTAAACTACGACAGAGACTGAGATGTAACAGACGTATCAGTATTACTGTACTTTTAATTGATAATGATTTGAAAACTAAATCGAAACTGCATTTTGTACTCTTCATTTATGTTTAATATTTTTATGGAGAATCTGTTAAATTTTCACTTATCTATTGTCAAACATCCGGTATAAATAGAAGGCTTTGTAAATTGTATTGTCCTTAAAATATTTCAGAAATGTATAAAAACTCATCAAACATTAACTTCTATTTACATTTTATTTTCTTCATTTAGATAACTCTAACAATAACAATTAACTGTTTTGTTTTTGAACTTTTTTAAAGAATTTGTGTATTTTATTGTAATATTTTTTTCCCTATTTTGTAGGAATTATTAATTCCTAATAAAATATATTTTTACATGTATNNNNTTTTAATTAATTTTAAAGATATTTATGTATAAATGATTGAATTCTCATAAAATTTAAAATATTTGATATATAGTAACTAAATTAACAATCACAAAAAGGTAATAATATGAATAAAAGATTAATTTAACAGGTTTCATAATACATGCAAGTAAAATTAATAAAGCATACTTAGTACTGCAGTATCAGCACAATAATTTAAGAATGGAAAAGCCAGATTATGTATTGAATTATGTAAACCTTATTATTTATTTAAAGTTTTACGTAATTTTTCTAAAATACAACATTTAGTAATTTATTAAATATTCTTTAGTATATTTTATAAAATAAAATTTACTTCTATATTCATTAATATTGTTTATTGTTTTGTGTTTTTATATGTTCCTCTGTTTACTCTTTCGGTCTCTATGCTCGCATCTGCCTATGCCTACCTTGCCTGTGCCTGGGTTGTTTAAAATGCAATGCAACTTGTCACTTGTATGTGTCACATTAATCTGTCCGAAAATGACGATGTACGCATCATTAACAAGACTGGACGGATTTTATTTAAAACGCAGCGATCGTTTTCTGTACCGACTGCAAAGGAAACAAAATCCACTGAGGAAACGGAACCAAAGGTATCTTTAATTCATAGTTATATTGAATCATCAACAAGTAATATTTAACGCTTACATATATTAAAAAAAAAGAATATTATATTCAATTATAAAAATATTTTAATCTCATTGATTTGACTAAAATAATTGTGCACATACTAAAGTTTTTGTAATTCATGCAGAATCGAAGTGCCAGAGTAAGTGTCAGCAACGAAAACAATGTATTATTGGATCCAGAAGTGCTGACAGACTTTACAACTCAATCTTTAGTTTTAACTGTTTTGGTTACGTTGGTAAAAAATTCTACAGATGAAAGTGAGCAACGATTTCTTTATGAATATCTTGCTGAAGCATCTGTGGTATTTCCAAAGGTATTTCCAGTAATGTAAGTCCTTGTCTTACAAACAGTTTTTTATAATATATATTAATTCTTAATATATTATTCATATTAATTTGATTTTTACAGTCACAATCTACTCGATGCAGAAATTAATAGTGTTTTGTCTTCCTGTCACGATCAAGGCATACTAAATTCTGTGCAAGCAATTATACAAAATATGATTGCGTGTGAAGACACAACTCAGCAGCAGTTACATTATTTACAAAGTTGTGGATTCGGAGGATTGTGGAGATTTGCAGGTCCATATACAAATGTAAGTGAATATTAATATAAATAATTTCCAATGCTCATATAACTAAAATAAAGAGTAGATGTGAATACATTACCATACAAGATTTGGTTTAATTCTAATTTTCTGTCGTTTTAAATTTTTTCTTTAATTTTGGAGTAACGTATATTATTTTGCAGTCTAATTGCACAGCCCAAAATGCTCAGTTATTCGTGAATTGTTTACAAGCAATGATAAAGACATGTTTGCCAGTTGATGAAACCAAAGGATCGAACAGTAACGAAGTTCCAACGGAAAAAAGTAAACGAACAGATACCCAAGTTTCAGAGGTCACAGCGAAATGCAAAAGTTCTAAACTAACTAACAGAGCCAACGCGCGTACATTTTCAGAAAGAACGGATGACATTTCTCGAAGTACTACAACTGTTGTTCACAGAGAGTAAGTCAGTGATTAACAATTTAGTAAAAAATTAATCATCTAATATTTTTGAAATATTTTAGTGAAATATGACTGAAATAATACGATGTCGAAAATTAACATTGAATGTTTCTTATAATTTAAAAAATTTCTTTATAAAGTAATCTATCTTTCTTTTCCGTATGTTTTAATATTTCCCTAATTTATTTAATTTTAACAATTAGATATTAGTACAATTAAGATAATTGTAGATAATGCTAGAAATACTTTCATATGCTTATATTCTTATATATGAAGAAGTGAACAATATTATATTAATAATCGTAATTTTAGTCGCAGTACAGAAAGTAGAGGAGATACATCACTGGATTCTACGAATCAAGGAGGAAACGCTAGTAGTAGTAGCAGTTCACAACCTTAGCGCTTACTGTGTGAACTGAAAAAACAGTGCTGTAAACATGGGCGAAAAGGGCAAGTTAGTCGGAAATTGCAACGACAACTAAGGTACGTTCAATGCAACTGTGTTTAATAATGAAACAGTTTATTTAAAATGAATTAATGATACGATATTAAATATCGCATATATCTCTTTGTTGTTTTCACATGCAAGTAAAAGCTTGCATTGTTTAAACATTGAATATTTTCATAGTATCAATACTGATATAAAGTAATGAATGCGTACAAAAAGTTTAAGAGTTAATTTCATCCCAATACAGTCTCATAAAATTGCTTTAAAATCAGTATCTTCAAAACTCTGTTAGTTGAAAAAGATTTTTTAAAGCTTTACATTAGCAGGAACTATTATTATTCTAATTTGTATGTATTTTCAACCAAGGAACGCAAACATTTTGGCTCCGTGTTATTGCTGCAACATGTCAAATCAGTTTAATCCAATGCCGTCCACCTCACGTTAATGAACCCACTGGAATGGAATCCAATACGCATTACTCGTCGGTAGACTCTTCTTTTATTCGTTAGCGGTACAAATATTATTCTCCCAATTCAGAACTCGCGAGCGCTAGACTAAACGACAACGGCAACAACGTGGAACGTATGGATATTAATATATTCATAAAAATATTAATTGGTTGTTAATAAAAGTTGAAACTTGTATAAGTGCCTTTAGTAAGCTCGAATACTTTTTGCACGGTTCCTGTACATTTAACTCAAACGAAATATTCAGATTTAACCCTAGAAAGATACACGTATTTTATTGAAATATATATTTGATTACAGTAGATTGTATTTTTTGAATAAGTATCCTACAGGTAAAGGATAGGGTTCATTTTAGTTTTTTTTAGTTTCGAACATCTGCTCCAGTTATATTTTGTTATTCTTGATTAGAATACCGGGTTATTTGGTAGTGGGTTATTATTTGTTGGTATAATAATTGGAGTTCTTGTTATAATAACATCTTGTTTGTATTTTACTTTCGCTGGACACGTATTGCCTCAGTGTTAACTGAGGTTCAACCATTAACTTGAAGCCTAGTCGGTTGAGCGATATGCTCACCAACCAAAATGGCAGCATCAACGGTCATCTCTAGACCAGTAATATTGTGTTTTGACGCCCACACTGGGACGACCACTCCACGATTAACTACAAAGTCGAAGTCGTAGAATAGTAACGACACATCTGGCACAGAAACTTCAACGCTGTTACCACAAGCTTCACGGCACCAAGTCGTACGCGTTGCTCGAGGTTGAGCGGATGGTGGGATATTAACACTAGATTCACGGAACGAGTCAATTTGACTCAAACTGAATTTTATAAACATTATTTGGTAAATGTTTGGATCGATTTTTCTTAACGCAGTTATGCAAATATGTATCCTAATTGTCTACTCTTAAACCTCTAATTTCTGAGATCTAAATGAACAGATAACAATTTTCCGAAGAACAATAGAACAAACTGTACAGTAAATGTCAGTAAATCTAGTGTTAAACGTTGCGTTTACACACATGGGAGACAAGGGTGGATTTTGAAGCCATTCCGTTCTAAATAAAATTGGAAAGGAAGCTTCGCGGCACTCGACTAGCTACACGGGTCAAAAGGTTACTGTATGAACATCCTGTGACAGATTATCAACGCCGTAATCCTGAGGCCAGATGATGTCGGCATTCATTAAAACCCAACCCTGTTGGGCGACCCACTGAGCACCAGGAATTAGACTTAAATTATGAAATCCGGATCCGAAAGACGCTGTAGCGTACGACCTTTTTTATCGGGATAAAGATATAGAGTGGCTCTTTCCCCATCGTCGGTTCGTTCCAAAACTGGAAAGGAATGCCAAATGTCAGTCCCTTGAACCTTCCCAACGCCGCACATAATGTTGTACGTTGACCTGACACTTGGGTCACAGTTGCCAATACTTGGCGCAGCTCTTCTGAAAAGACGAAAGGAGTTGTGACGTCGAAAGACGACGTCTCTCCTTGTACGTATAGCGCTTAATACACCTTGTAATACACAAGGCACAACACCACACGATAGTATTGGCAGATATTACAGATCTCTTCAATCTGTGCTCGATTCCAGGTGGTACACAGGCGACTGTATTCCGCCACCACGGCGAAACCAACTCCCCTGGTTGCAACGGGGAGGGAAACGGTCGATCTCTGAACATTAATCGCAAGAATGCTTAACACGTTCGCTACCAGCGTCACATATTTGTGACGGCCGTAATCCTATATTTTACACAATGAAAATGAAATTAATTCTATAGACATTGTTGTTATAAATTATAAACTACAACATTATATTTAGGAACTCCATAACTCGTTTCAGTTTCATTTTTCTAATATTTTGTTTAGAAGATTTATTGGATTGAAGAAAATATAATTGTGTTAATGACTTCTCAAGCTTGAGGGTAGAATCATCATATACACTCAATATCTTCATAACGATTTTTCACGCCTCGTTAGCCTGTTTCGCTGATACACGCTCGCGGAAAGAGTCAGTTTTCCTAGCTCGCGACTGTTTCCCAGTCTTTTTATTGGTCTTCGTCTTTGCTGCAGGAGCAACTTCCGATGTGGTTGCCACCTAGAATACTTTATCTTGGCTAAATGGTTAAATGGCTTTGTTCCGTATTATTCGACTCGGTTCAAAGTGTTTTCAAAATGTATATATGAAGAAGTATATATTAATTTTACAGAATCACTTTGTCTTCAATAAATTGTATTTTATTATTTTATGTATCGTTTGTAAGATATACTTGTAGCAGTTCCCTCTTGTAGTTAATCTCACATTTTTTAATGAAATTTTTTTTCCATTTTGTTTATTTTATACTTTTCATAGTTTTATCTTCTATGTAAATTTCTTCCGTCAATATATTTTCTATTTCATTTATTCTTCTTCTTCTTCTTCTTCTTTCCTTATTTAACATCGCATCGACATCTTGGTCATTAGCGACGTCTATGTGTTTTACTGGTTAGATTACATCCTCATGTCCTTTTATGTCTGTAACTTGTATGAATTTTAGTAAGTTGGATTTGTTTTGTTCTGATTTATATATTTCATTAATTCTTTTGGGAATTTGGTATCGTTTCCGGAGCTCGTCTAATTTGGTGCATTTTAGGATGATGTGTCGGACAGTCAGTGGTACATTGCAGAATTCACAACGTGGGGGGATTTCGTTTTGTAGGAGGTGCTTGTGTGTTCAATTATCAGTCTAAGCAATTTAACTTGATATCTTCTATTGCTTGGTAATTCAGGAAGAAGACTGGAGTGTTGTAGTTATTTCGTGTGGTTTTGTAAAGTTTATAGATGTCCATTTGTGTTCCTACCTTTGAAATATTTGGTGTTTGATGTATTTTTTAATATTCTCTGATGGTTCGTTCTCGTTGTTAAACGACAGCAGAGTTGCTTGTTCGAAAGTCATGGGAGGAGATCCATGCGATAGTGATTGAAGATCCTTTGTTGATCATATCTGTGAATCTTTTTGTTTGCTTGCAATTATTTCATTTTCATTCTGTGGGTTTTGTGTTGCAGTAATAACACTCAGGGAGTCACTGAAGATGGTGCATTTCTTGATCTGTAAGCATGGGTCTTATAGTTACACATTTATTATTACGATTGATTTCTGTAGAGTGGTTACTTTCACGGCTGTTTCCTTTTTATCGAGATACACACATATACGATTGTTGGAAATCTTCGAGATGTATCATATAGCTTCGAGGCCCATTATTTTTCCTGTTGCGTGTGCGTACTCTTGTTATTTTATTTCGTCAATCGCGTGTATGATAATAGCTTGTTCTTTAGAGGGTAAACAGTCGACTTTTGCTGCGTGAGAATAGGATTTTATGGATGTGGAATTGGTTTGATTGATTTCAGTTAAGTTAGACGCCATGGGATCTCTGTATTCAGTGGTCGCGTGGTGTTTCCATTTGGAATGATATGACCTGCGTGTGAGTACGCGGTGTTTACACTGATGTCACTAGCACTATCTTAGCATGTGTGAGTGGGAACACGCGAGATCGACTATATAGGATGTCCGTACGGTTCCTCGGTTTGCCCGGAATTGTATTTCATTTATTGAATATCTCTTACAAAAGAAATACAATTAATTAATTTCGGAAATGTTCCAGTATGGATGAGCTGCTACCAATAAGAAACATGCATTCATTATAGTTCTGAGGATTTAAGTTATCTAGTATCGAAGGCATAAGTGACAATAAGTATGTTTTTGTAAATTTTCAAAATGAGAAAAATAATATAATTTCTATATTTTCTAACTAGTGGGCAGAAGGAGCTCCTCTTCCTTTGATTTTTCTAGGGTTAATAATATTTTATATTGTAAACATGCACAGAATGTACACAGATATAATTAATATTGTTATTTTTGAGTCTTAAATGAGACATTTATTAAACGTTATTTTAATTGTGATTTAATATAAGTGAAAGGGTATAAATGTAACAATCAGTTGAACAGTACACAAGGGTTGGCAAACCGAAAACCCTAATATATTAATATCCATGCATATTTGTTTTTATCTTTCTTGCTTGTTAATGCGCTCACGAGTTCTAAATGCAGTATATATTCCTGTATGAACGGTCTACAATTCTGTATTACTTTAAAATTCGCTTCCAACTCGACGACTAACTATAAATTTGTATCTATAACAACAGAACCTACACAATGAACGGTCAAACCGTTGGCCTTTATTGTGTAGTGGGCCTATACGATTCTTGAACGGAGAATTATAAAATAATTTAACCAGTTAACATAGTTTGTAGTGTCACGGTAGAGGTGAGATGTTTATCCAAATGTTTCTAACCCTTTACAGCTAAATATTTTTATATCATAGACCGAATCTGTTTCTATATCCGAACAGATTTAATATAGTCCCGTGTTGTTAGAATAAAATTTATTATATGCATAGTTTATCAGAGAATTCTAATTCCATGTACAGCTATAAAGGGTTAAACGCGTTTATTTTTCATTTCAATGTACAGTAGTGGAGGGAAAAAAAAATAACGGTATTTTGTGACAAACGTTCAGTTCCATTTCTTAGACCTGATTGCGGCATACGAATACAGAGAGAGTATGTAGTTGTTAATGTAAGAATACCGTGAACAAGAGAGATGAACACTCGACGAATTGAAACGAATGTATTCTACCGGAAGTTCACTGGAAACGACGACAGGAAAAGTTTCACCGAAACGACAATGAGTGTTCAAGATGCATACATAAAACAAATAAAAACAGAAGTTTTCTACGAGCATAGAGATCTATTATATCGAGAGAAAGAAAGAAAGAGAGTGAGTGTGCGTGTGTATGTGTGCGAGAAAGAGAAAAAGTGAGAATATGCGTGTGTGAGAAAGGGAGAAAGCGAGAATATGCGTAAGTCAGAAAGAGAGAAAGTGAGAATATGCGTGTTGAGAAAGAGAGAGAACGTGAGAATATGTGTGTGTGAGAAAGAGAGAGAGAGAGAGAGAGAGAAAAAGAGAAAGAAAGAAGAATGTGTTCGTGCGAATAATCACGAATATTCACGTTGTCAGATGTATCACAAGGAGAATGCATTTCGTTCAGAATAGAATTCTAGAGCAGTGCAGAATCCCGCAAAGAATTTTTATTTAGTTTTATATTTATTATTTGAGTGTAATTTTATTAAAAAAAGAAAAGGGATAAAAAAAACGAATACAAATAATAAGATATATGTATGCGTTCTGCGGAAACGCGATCACTGAGAACTTTGATAACTTTCTCTTTGATAGAATTTCAGGAGGGTCGGAACTCACCTCCTGGATACTATATATAATAGTGTAGGTTCAACCCCTTGCGCTTGGCTCGTAATTGTATGTATGGCGACTGAACGTTAAGTATCATGAATCAAAAATGATGTTCTATTGCGTTGAAACCTGTTACGGAGTATTTGTTCAGCAACGGTGATACAATAATTTTCATAAAAAAGTTCTTCATAAGTTCCCCTGGACTATATCGATTGAGAAATTGATAATTTCACCACCGGAGTTTCTAAAACATACTTGAATACATAACTAAAAACCGCAATAATTTAACCCTTATGTCAATAACCAGTATTAAACTAACGACTTCCCTTTCAGAATACTTCTACAGTCTGTTTCAACATCTTCATAGTGACAAGAAATTCAAATAAAAGTTAACTTTAAATATCATTAACGTATTAAAAGATGCCTAGTAATATAAATAAACAAGTAAACTATTTCTAATCAATTTTTCTATTCTGTCCAGTCGTCTATATGTTCCATTATGCGAATATCGAATATCTTTGTTATTCTCAAACAAGTGCATAAATAATTTTGGGATCTATATGTAAAACTTTTAACTTATATTTGCATGCAATGAATGCAAATCTAAAGCAATTTTATGATTACTCAACGAAGAACCTGGGTTGTTGACACAAGGATTAGTTTAAATATTAAATATTAGATATTGAATATCGAATATTAAATCTTGGTTATTAAATATTAAATATCAGATATTAAATGTTAAATATTAAATGTTACATTTTTATTAACGGCAATATCGTATGACACTGCAAGGAAATTTTGCGCGAAAGATCTTCCAAGGAAAAAGCAAGAAGTAAGCATCAGGGGGTTGATAAAGCGACGATGCTCTGGACCAGCATGCGTCCGGTGCATCGATGCGTCGATTTTCGTCTGAAGACGCTCGAGCAATCGGACGGTTATTTCTAGAGTTCTCTAAAACGAAACACCAATGATTCTATTGTCTACTACTTATTAAAGTACAAAGCGAGACCACGCGTTATATTTTCCCCCGCAGTGTGCGCAAAGGCACTAATGGGAGAAATTTCTAATTATTAGCGATTAG